AACCATAGCAGCAGTAAATATAACTTACGCCCTCCGAGTGTGTATCCTTTTGCTTTGAAGTGCAACCCTGGCATTCTCCCTGACTTCACACTACACAAACTATATCATTATGTTATCTGCAAACTCAAATGCAATATGATTGCATTTGGAAATAAATATTTCCCTCTTTATGGGTGGTCTGTGTCATTTTTCTGTTATGACTGTAGCTGAGTCTTGAGGTACTTTCATTTTTATTAAATGCTTATAAAGGCTTTATAAGGCAAAGTCCCCACTTTAGATGGCTTGCTTAACTAACAACTAGTAACCATAGCTGGACTGGCCATCGGGCATACTGGGCATTTGCCCGGTGGGCCGATGGTAATTTTTCGTTTTAAATGGGCTGACGTTTTGTTGTTGTCTTTTTTTCCGTAACCGTGTAAACAGTGAAAGGTGGCGGATTGGACAGATGCTGGCAGACGTGTAAAAATAACTCAATTTTTTGGTAGTAGCTATGGTGGAGCTTTCAAAGATTCAGTAAAATTAGCAAGTGGTGGAGGCCAGCAGGTGGATGGGGGAAAGGGGAGGTGGAGAGACCCAAGGCGGCCGCCGGTCCAACTGTCAGGTGAAATGAGCTTCAGGTAAGAAGTTATGACCTGCAGTCTATCTGGGTCAGATATAAACCAAGTTTAGGTGGAGTTTATTTTCGTTGTGTCTGTGAAGGTTCTCAGTCATCCAGGTCATCGTAGTCAAAGGAGCTTGCAAAGAAAAGCGTCTGGACTTCTTTAAGTTACTTGAAGACGTTTCACCTCTCATCCGAGAAGCTTCTTCAGTTCTAAGGTCAAATGGTGGAGAGTCCCAGATATAAACCTAGTGGGAGTATCCCCCCACAGAGGGACAAAAGGACCCCCTGATGATCCTCTAAACCCCCTGAGCCACACCCAGTTTCACACCTTGGCTCAGGCGATTAGAGGATCATCAGGGGGTCCTTTTGCCCTCTGTGGGGGGTTACTCCCACTAGGTTTATATCTGGGACTCTCCACCATTTGACCTTAGAACTGAAGAAGCTTCTCGGATGAGAGGTGAAACGTCTTCAAGTAACTTAAAGAAGTCCAGACGCTTTTCTTTGCAAGCTCCTTTGACTTCGTTGTGTAACTTTTTACAGTAGTTCAATAACTCGTGCTGCGTACCAGTCTTTGGGTTTCGGCTAAGTACTGTTTAGAATACCAGAATAGGGAGGATAGTGTAGGTTTAAGTTTATTAGATTGATACATATGTACCAACAAGACAGTGTACATCACTGTCACAACGACGTTTGTTTTCATTCAAAGGCTTTATGGTTTTTCTTATAATAACTGGTGGGCCGGTTTCTAGTCAAAACTCATATCTTAATCATTATACAGTATATGTAAATGTGCATCTAAATACTCATTTAGACTTTATAAATAATACAATGGTACAGTTATATAACAGTTTATTAAAAAAGAAGAGATATTTATATCTATATTTATAAATTACATACGTAATGCTCCTTACTAGTACCTGACTGATGCTTATTAGTGTGACATTATTCTAAAGTGTTTCCGATTTTAAAACTACTGCTTTGTTCGTAGAAAACTCATGATACATGGACATCCAGGGCAAATGTGTCTGTGTTTCATAAAGGTTACATCATATCTTCAACAATGAATAAGAAAAAACATGACAGGCCTCTTAACAATACATGTAAACACACTCACTGACTGTGCAGCTCAGCAGCATGTCGGCTTCCACCAGCAAAAATAGTACTGCTGCAGGAGGAGAGACTGATGTAAAAGTGGATACATCTGTGAACAGAGAGCACCTGACTGTTTTTAAATGGGTTTTGTCACAACACACAACAGAACCCCAAAACATGTGACCTGTTTGCTGTCAGACTTAATGATGTAAATGGCAACATTTTAATCAAGAAACACTTTAGCTTTATGTGTGAGTTTTTTGCTCAAAATTAGTTTTTAAAAATGTAAACAATATTGAATAAACTCTAATTTTTCCCAGTTTTAGATAAAAATAAAAACTATACAGAGACTTCTTCTTGTGGCGTTATCTTTATTACTTAGGTTTAGTTAATAGTAATTATTACAATAGATGTTTTGCCTCTTCATTTTTGTGTGATGGCAAGCCTGAAAGTGAGACAGACAAAGCAATGAAGAGGACTGATGATGACAGCGGGCAGTAGAAACACGATGCATGAAGGTATATTGGATAAAATGGCAGTTTACTCATTAACTGAGAAACAACACCTACTGAAAATGCTGACATAAAACTGGTATGGGGAATTGTAAGACTAGGGGCTTACAGCGGAATAACAAAGCCTTTCAGGGAGCTTTTTAGAACAGCATGCTAATAAAAAGTTAGAATAGTTCAGGAGGTCACAAATGGATAAGCTACTTTTTTCGCATCATTTTGAGATTCGTATTTCATTTTAGAGGTATTGCACAGATGAAAGAAGACATATGTTTAAAAAGGACTCCATGGTTCCCCACAACTCTTTAGAAACCCTCTTAATGGTCTTGGTGCCTCAAAACTATAAACACTGACTTTGGTTGTTAGCTTTAGGGTCCATCTACAATAGGACAACAATAAAAAGTTGCAAACAAGAAAAGACTAGATAATAAAAACAAATAAACTGAATAAAAAAATTTAATCTAGCTAAGATATTAGTAAGCATTTAGCAGTCATTAGTTTTTGGTGCAAATAATTCTTTGCACAAACATAATAGTGTTTCACACTAATAGTACCTAGTTGAATTATTAAGTTGATATTATGATTAACTTAACTGTAAAATGCTAACTGCTAACATTTCTCTGTGATTTAGTCCAGAGTTGGTGTGAAAATTTATATGCTTCTTTTTAGTGAAAGACTCCTCAGCAGGCCGATGACTGGTTAACAATATTTCAGAAATTGTCTGGTTTAGAGACAAAATGTGTTATTCCATATGACAAACTATCATTGTTACCATCCATCCATCCATTCATTCGCTTATCCTTTTCAGGGTCGTGGGGGGCGCTGGAGCCTATCCCAGCTATCATAGGGCGAGAGGCGGGGTACACCCTGGACAGGTCGCCAGTCTGTCGCAGGGCCAACACACAGGGACAGACAACCATTCGCACTCACTCACACCTAGTGGCAATTTGGATTATCCAATTAACCTATCCCCACAAGCTGCATGTCTTTGGACGGTGGGAGGAAGCCGGAGTACCCGGAGGGAACCCACGCAAACACGGGGAGAACATGCAAACTCCACACAGAAAGACCCCAGCCTGATGGTGGAATTGAACTCAGGACCTTCTTGCTGTGCGGCAACAGTGCTAACCACCGTGCCACCGTGCTACTTTCCAAATATTAATTTTGGTATTTAGGCTCATTTTGATAGTAAATTAAGCTTTTATCTTCTCATCTGTTTACGATGACTTTGTTTGATTACAGTGGTGAAAGTTCTTTGTGGAACCAGCTTCCAGTTTGGATTCGGGAGACAGACACTATCTCTACTTTCAAGATTAGGCTTAAAACTTTCCTTTTTGCTAAAGCATATAGTTAGGGCTGGACCAGGTGACCCTGAATCCTCCCTTAGTTATGCTGCAATAGACGTAGGCTGCCGGGGGATTCCCATGATGCATTGAGTTTTTCCTTTCCAGTCACCTTTCTCACTCACTATGTATTAACAGACCTCTCTGCATTGAATCATATCTGTTATTAACCTCTGTCTCTCTTCCACAGCATGTCTTTTATCCTGTCTTCCTTCTCTCACCCCAACCGGTCGCAGCAGATGGCCGCCCCTCCCTGAGCCTGGTTCTGCCGGAGGTTTCTTCCTGTTAAAAGGGAGTTTTTCCTTCCCACTGTCGCCAAAGTGCTTGCTCATAGGGGTCATATGATTGTTGGGTTTTTCTCTGTATCTATGAAGCGCCTTGAGGCGACTTTTGTTGTGATTTGGCGCTATATAAATAAAATTGAATTGAATTGAATACTTTTACAGTACTTTCAATAAGGGAAGGGTGTTGTAACTTTATTGCAGTTTTTGTTTGATAACAGCATTTTGATTATTTTGTAAGTGATTTAAGTGTTAGTCACATGTTTAGTGAGGGCTGTTAATTATAGATTTAATTTCTGCTAAAAGGGAGCATTTAACAGTTATTTTCATTAGAAACTGAAAGTTACTCTGGGTTTTAGCTAGCAAAGAAAGTTTGGGAAGCCATTATATGTTGCTCTGATGTCGAGCAGTTTATTTGTTGTACATTCCCCTTTTTGAAGCCTTATATAAAGACTATCGTTTCTCCAATTGATGGCCGATCCATTTTTTTTGGGCTAGTGGATTTGCCACAACATTTTTTGGTGCCGAAACCCGGGAGAAATGAGCGAACAGGACTTACGTGGAGCCGCGGCCGCCGAAGCTGCGGGAGTGGCAGATGACGAGCATCAGAGAGAAATGGAAAGAACAAAACGGAAACATGGGACGATAAGAGGTGCTACCACACGACTTGTACATCAAATTGACTCCGAAATGGCTAAACCAGATCCGGACACTGACCATCTGAGCGCATTACTGGAAATGCTGTCGGCAAAGGAGCTCAGCTTGTATGCCTTAGATAGTGAAATAGAACGTAAAACAGCTCTGGATGACCTGGAAATGGAGATCGAAAGCACAGAGGAATATAAGGAGCGCATCATCCTGTCCAAGAGCCGTGCACGGCGCATAATTAAGAGAAATGAGGATTGCCGCGAACAAGCCGCACATCAAAGGGTGAGTGACGCTAACTCTGCTCATTCATTGGCACAGAGAGCATCGGTAAAGCTTCCTAAGCTGATCATTCACAAATATGATGGAGATGCCAGTTTGTGGCAGGAGTTTTGGAGTCAATATGAAGCTGTTATTCACCACAATGATGCACTATGCAAAAGAGAGAAGTTTACCTATTTGAAAATCTATCTCACTGGCCAAGCAGCAAAGGCAGTTGCAGGACTAATGTTGACGGATGAAAATTATGACAACGCAATTGAGTTACTGCAAAACCGATTTGGAAGAAAGGATGTAGTAATTAGTGCGCACATGTCAAAACTGCTGAACCTCACACCTGTTAAAAAATCCTCTGATGTGCATGCTTTGAGGCAGCTATATGATGAATGTGAAATTCAGATCAGAAGTTTAGAGTCATTGGGTGTAGTGTCAGAAAGCTACGGAAGCTTGTTATGCCCAATATTGCTAAAGATGATTCCAGATGATATAGCTCTTGAATACAGCCGTCAGAGAAATGGAGATGAAGAGTGGAAAGTGTCAGAAATGGTCACATTCCTACAGAAGGAGGTTCAGAGCAGGGAAAGAGCGCTGCAAATGACAAAGTCGTACAACCCACAGAAAGCTGAAAATAAACTGTACAAGCCACCGTTCAACGATGTGAGGTTTAAAAGGCCTAGCATACAATCTACTGCTGCCCTGTACACAGCCAGCCAGAAACAAAACACCTGTATATTCTGTGAGAGTGACGATCACAAATCGCAAAACTGCCCAAATAATGACACGCTTCAAAGAAAGGACAAGTTAAAGAGAATGGGGAGATGTTTTGTGTGTTTGGGACAGAAACACATTGCAAGATTCTGTAAGACCAAGAATGTGTCCTGTGAGAAATGTGGACGGAGACATCACGTTGCTGTGTGCGGTGGTGAAAGGGTGGATGTACAGGCCCCATCCCAACCAGAAGAAGCAGTGGTCTCCTCCGTGCTCCCTCATTCAGTAAGAGTGAAACCAAGTGAACAGAACACTGTGTTGCTACAGACTGCAAAGGTGTGGATTGAAGGCCCGTCAGGCAGAAGGATAGCTCGTTGCTTATTAGATGGAGGCAGCCAAAGAAGCTTCATACATGAAACGTTGGTGAAGAGCCTAAATTTACCAGTAATAAGGCAAGAGACATTGACACTACACACATTTGGGTCCTCCTTTCCCACAAGATCACAGCGCGGCATAGTGAAGGTTATGCTACAAAATATCTGGGATCCTAGCCAGAGTATTGTAATAGAAGCTGTGGAGACCCCACAAGTGTGCTCGGCAATAATGAAGGTTCCTGGTGAACAGATCCAGCATGAGCTTAAGAAAAGAGGATTACAACTGGCTGACTTCCCAGGATCCAATGAGGAACCAGAGCTTGCTGTCCTCATAGGAGCTGACTACTATTGGCAGATCGTGACAGGAAGGGTGGAGAGACTTACAGAAACATTGGTGGCACTGGAGAGCACCTTCGGATGGTCTGTTCAGGGGCCGGTTTCTGCATCAAGTGTTACAGAGGCAGCCTGCATGTTCATTCCGTGTGAGGAAGAGAAACTCCTCTCCAAGCAACTGAAAGCATTCTGGGAAATAGAGTCTCTGGGTATTACAAATGAGACAACAAAGAACCCAGAAGATGATGAGGCTCTGCAGATGTTTGAGAGAACGACTATGTTTAAAGATGGACGATATCAGGTGGAGTTGCCATGGAAGCCAGAAAGGGTAGAGCTCTCAGACAACTACAGAGTTGCCAAAAAACGGCTGGAAGGTCTGAGTAAAAGATTTAAGAAGGATGTCACACTCTTCAGCAGGTATAATCAAGTGGTGGAGGACTACTTGGACCAGAACATTGCAGAGGAAGTGACACCAAACAGCAGCACAGATTCTGTAATGTATTATATGCCTCACCATGCAGTGCTGAGAGAGGACAAAGCAACTACAAAATTAAGAGTGGTCTTTGATGCATCGTCCCATGAAGAAGGCTGTCTGTCGCTGAATGACTGCTTATTTACGGGCCCAAATTTGAATCCAGATCTGCTCAGTGTTCTCCTTAGATTTAGGGAACACGAAATCGCCTTTCTGGCAGACATAAAACAAGCATTCCTGCAAATACGTCTTGCAGAAAGGGACAGAGATGCAGTCAGGTTCCTGTGGTTCTCAGGTGCACCGAATGGAGAAGTGAATGATCACCTGCGCATTCTGAGGATGACGAGAGTGGTGTTTGGAGTTACACCAAGCCCGTTTCTGCTTGCAGCGACAATTCAAAGACATCTAAAACAATATGAAACAAGCCAACCACAAGTGGTGAATACAATAAGGGAGTCACTTTACGTAGATGACTTCATTTCAAGTACACGCTCAGTGGAAGAGGCGTATCACATAACGACGAATGCCAAAGAAATACTGGCGGCTGCTGGTATGGAGCTTTGCAAATGGATGACAAACTCAGCTGAACTGAGGCAGAAATGGGAGAAGAGTTCCACAAACTACATGATGGCACCTGAGACGAATGGAGTAGCATTAAAGGTGCTTGGATTAGTGTGGAGGCCAGAGCCTGATGATTTCACCTTTGACCTTAGTTCACTAGTGAGGCTTCTAACAGAGAAGAAAGGAACCAAACGAAGCGTGCTGCAGTCCTCAGCACGAATTTATGACCCACTTGGGTTTCTGAACCCCTTCACCATTAGGGTCAAGTGCATGTTCCAAGCAATGTGGGAGAGGGGGCTCTCTTGGGATGAGGAATTGCCACCAGATCTGGCACAAGAATGGCAACAGTGGTGTTCAGAGCTTACTCAGTTACACCAGCTCACCATACCAAGGTGGTACCAAATCAATATGCAACAAGAAAGCAAAGAGGGCTTGGAATTACATGTGTTTTGTGATGCCAGTGAAAGGGCATACAGTGCTGTGGCCTATCTGCAAGGCAAAACACGAGAAGGAGAAACGACAATGAGCTTGGTCGCATCTAAAGCCAGGGTGGCTCCCCTAAAGAAAATGACGTTGCCACGTCTGGAACTCATGGGAGCCGTGATTGGGGCCAGACTGGCGAACAACTTGATCATTTCGCTGAAGATGGAGCAAGCCCAAATAAAAATGTGGACTGACTCCATGATCACTTTGCAATGGATTTGCAGTTCGGCACAAAGGTGGAAACCGTTTGTTGCAAACCGAGTGACTGAGATCCAGACTCTTACGAGTCCATCTTCATGGTCACACATCCCAGGGAAAGCTAATCCCGCTGACCTGCCCACAAGAGGACAATCAGTGGAGGCCCTACTACAAAACCAGCTATGGTGGAATGGCCCTAGTTTTCTTGTATCAGAAGATCGGATGCCTGAGTCTGAAGATGAAAACATTTCAGACGAAATGAATGTAGAACTTAAATCCAGTTATCAAATAGCCATGCAGTTTGCTGCTAATGACACTGACATCTGTGAACCAATACTGAAGCTTGAGAGTTACAGCGAACTGAAGAGAGTGCTCAGAGTGACAGCATGGATTAGGAGATTCATAGCTAATGCAAAAACAACGATGCAACCAAAGATGCGAGGTGAGCTGACAGCAAATGAGCTTCTTGATGCTGAGAAGTACTGGATTAAGGTTGCACAACATCACAGTTTTCACCAGGAGGTCCAGAGACTGAAAGTAGGAAAACCTATGATGAATGACAGTAAGATTCAGGAACTGAAACCATTCCTTGATGAAGATGAGCTGCTTAGTGTTGGAGGCAGGCTGCAGCAGTCGGACTTCACATTCAGAGAGCAGCATCCTTGGATTCTGCCAAACAAACACAGATTTTCAGAACTGCTGATACAGGACTGTCACAAAAGGGTGATGCATTCAGGAGTGAGGGACACTCTTGTACAAATAAGAGAGAGATATTGGATCATCCGGGCTCGGCAGCTGGTTAAGAGCATTGTGACCAGATGCACTGTGTGTAAGAGGTTTAAGGCAAAGGCTGGGCATCAGCTAACTGCACCTTTGCCTAGGGACAGAATATCCGAGTCACCACCATTCGAAGTTACAGGTGTGGATTTTGCTGGGCCACTCTATGTGAAAACAGAGGATTCTGTGAAAAGATCCTACATTGCCCTATTTACCTGTGCTGTGACACGAGCGGTCCATTTAGAGCTTGTGTCAGATCAGTCAACTGAGACATTTTTGCTAGCGTTGAAGAGATTCATTGCCAGGAGAGGGCTATGCAGAGTTATCTATTCTGACAATGCCAGAACATTTAAGAGAGCAGACCAAGATTTGAAGGAGCTGTGGAAGACAATTAAAGACCCACATTTGCTGGAGTTTTTTTCGGAAAGAGGAATTACTTGGAAGTTCATTGCAGAAAGAGCAGCCTGGTGGGGTGGATTCTGGGAACGTCTTGTCAGATCAGTGAAAATCTGTCTCAAGAAGGTGTTAGGTAGAGCTTCACTCCACTTTGAAGAAATGTGTACTGTGTTGGCGGAAGTCGAAGCTACTCTGAACTCTAGGCCTCTCACCTTTGTGCACAACGAGGTAAATGAACCGCAACCACTTACTCCAGCCCACTTTTTGGTGGGCAAACGACTGACATCTCTACCACCCAAGTCAATCCCGAAGGACACACACCATCCAACACCTAACAAAGAGGATATTACTCGGAGATGGAGATACCGGCAGAAACTTATGACCAACTTCTGGAACACCTGGAGAAGGGACTATCTGTTGGAGTTGAAGTCAGCTCATTGCTGTGACGCTTCAAAGCCTACACCCCTAAAACTAGGGGATGTCGTGCTCATTGGGCATGACAACCTCCCCAGACAAGTGTGGAAACTTGGAAGAATTGAAGAAATGTTTCCTGGTCGAGACGGTCTTGTTAGATCTTGCTTAGTTCGCACGACAACGGGGACTCTGTTAAGAAGACCGATTCAGTTGTTGTATAACCTAGAGCTTTAGATGAACAGATTGTTCATCGGGGGGGAGGATGTTGTAACTTTATTGCAGTTTTTGTTTGATAACAGCATTTTGATTATTTTGTAAGTGATTTAAGTGTTAGTCACATGTTTAGTGAGAGCTGTTAATTATAGATTTAATTTTCTGCTAAAGGGGAGCATTTAACAGGTATTTTCATTAGAAAACTGCGTTTCCCAGAATCCTTTGTGGTAGACGAAAGTTACTCTGGGTTTTAGCTAGCAAAGAAAGTTTGGGAAGCCATTATATGTTGCTCTGATGTCGAGCAGTTTATTTGTTGTACATTCCCCTTTTTGAAGCCTTATATAAAGACTATCGTTTCTCCAATTGATGTCCGATCCATTTTTTTGGCTAGTGGATTCGCCACAACAAAGGGAAGTAAGTATCAAGTAAGTATCAGTAAGTAAGGGAAGAAAATGAAAAAAAATAAAATAATTGAGGGACATTTTAATTTGCTTAAAGAAATAACATCTAACTTTGTAGCATTTTAAGTTCCCCACTTCTAGCAAGGTCAAATTCTCGTTAAATAAATTGAAATTTTTTCTCATAATTGATACAAGTCCTGTTTATACAAATCCAGTTACATCAAAACTATACGAATAGTTTAGTGAGATTTGCTATCTGAAAATTAGCGCCTAACACCATTTGGGCCTGTTAGGGAAAATATTCTAAAACACTTCTTCAGTAAAGACTCAGAGAAGAGAAACACACAGAGTTCTTGCTAGCAAGGGCAGCTCCCTACTGAGAGACTCCGGTGAGGAACTGCCCTGGTCTTTATTTTATACTCCATTGAACGTATGTGTGTGTGTGTGTGTGTGTGTGTGTGTGTGTGTGTGTCTTGTGTGTGTTGTGAGTGTGTGTGTGTGTGTGTGTGTGTGTGTGGTGGCTGTGTGTGTGTGATGATATTCAGATCTACCTTCCTCTGAGGTTGGACTGCAATGCTTCTTTGCAGCCGTTACTCTCCTGTTTGTCTGACATTAAGACTTGGATGACTCTTAATTTCTTACACCTAAATGAAAGTAAAACTGAAGTCATTGTGTTTGGGCTTCCTAAAGATCCCAACTTCTCTTTTGACTTTATGGGACCCCTAACCTCCGATTGTACTTCTTCCATTAAGAGCCTCGGTGTTATTTTTGACAATGCTTTTAAACTTGATAAACAAATCAGCTCTGTAGTCAAGGGATCTTTTTATCATTTACGGATTTTAGCCAAAGTCAAGTCCTACCTGTGCAGGAACGATCTAGAAAGAGTGGTCCATGCCTTTATTACTTCACGGCTGGACTACTGTAATTCCCTCTATGCTGGCCTAGATCGTTCCTGTCTGCATCGCCTTCAACTGGTGCAGAACGCTGCTGCCCGCTTGTTGACCGGTTCTAAAAAAAGAGACCACATCACTCCGGTTCTCTGCTCTCTCCACTGGCTCCCAGTTGCTTTTAGGATTGATTTTAAAATTTTACTGCTGGCTTTTAAGGTTTTAAATGGCACTGCACCTTCTTACCTGTCAGAACTCCTTAGTATTTATCGCCCCAGGAGATCTTTGAGGTCAGCTGACCTGATGCTTTTAGATGTTCCCAGGTATAGATTAAAGACTAAGGGAGAGAGGGCGTTTGCTGTGGCTGCACCCAGACTGTGGAACAGTTTACCTCCTCACGTCAGATTCTCCACAAGCCTAGAAACTTTCAAAACTGCTCTTAAAACTCACCTCTTTTCATTGGATCTCTTCC